TCACAGAATCTCATCTTGAATCAGGAGAGACATCCATAAAAGCTATTGAAATCCAGAATATTCATCACATAAGTGACTGTAACACATTTCTTCATTTTTTCTGATGACTTTGTTTGCCTTAGCACATTGTCAGCCTGTTGGACCTCACTACTCTCTATGGGAATGTTTTAATTTTCAGAGAGATTCCTGCACTTGTCATAGTCATTAACATGTAAATACATCTCATAAAGCACTGAAATGAACTAATAGTTACAGCTTTTCCAGCCATTAACACGTGTGATAGTTAAGCCTGATTATGAACTTCACCTTACTGGCAACACATTTCTGTGGGTCTCTGTATTTCTCTGCCTGCTCTGAGCAGGACTAACTTAGGAGTCCATAAAGCTAAAATCTAATTAATTAAATAGCAACACTAATGCTTGCACTGGGCTTAAATGTGGCAGGGAGCATTTTTTTCCAATTCTCAAATAAATCTGCTTATTGAAAATACCATCCTAGAAATAGGAGTCTCTGACTTTGAGAGATGCCCTGGAATTTAACAGCCCATTATTTTTATATGGGCAATTTATTGCAGTCAGAAGTGATACAGTTCATGGAAAGCTGGTGGATGGATGGCTGAATCATTCCATCACCTGTCATGACTCACTCCCATCATTTCCGTCTCCTCGCGAAGGGTGCATAAACATGTCTGCAGACTTAACCATGGCCCAGAGCATCTCATTAAAACATTGCCTCGGTTAGGGTCAGAAAAAAGGTTATGTAGCCCCATGACTGGATTAAAAGAGAAGAGGGATTGAGATCTTGACTGGTTCATTCAGAGAAGAGTGTCCAAACCAAAAGTGCACCAAGGGACTTCTGCTTGGGCTTTTCCTTGAGTTTCTCACCTTTGCAGGTAGTTTCACAGATAGGATTCATCCAGGAATTTTATAGACCAGTTTGGTTTGGCTGCTCAGTTCCTTGAGTTCTGCCTGCTTTCAGGGGTCTTCTCATTCTCTGGATGATACTGGATATGGTGACCTTGTTGCTGATAGTTCTGTGTCAAGATATATGGATGTAGCCATTTCTCAGATACAGCCAGATGTTTTGGTGATAGTGAGCCAGATGACTCCTGCTGGAGCTGTCAGACAGCGAAGTTAGCACACACTTCATGTATATTCTGTCCTCCTTCCTCAGCAGACTCCCATAGAGTGGATGGTGCAAACCCTTTTGTGGCTTGGCTTAATCCACCTTCAAAGTGTGCTCAGAGGGTTTACCCAGCCTGTTCCTCCCAGCAAGAGCTCTCTCGACCCAAGCTCTGAGCTGACCTGCTGTGAGCTGACCTGGCCAAACGCCACGTGGCCAGCGTTAACTCGAGCAGAATTTATTAGCTTGCAGAGGGCACTGCATAATCCAGTTACACAACTTCACTTTTGGAGCTGGCTTGTGTCTGGCCTGGTTGGAAGATGGGTAAATGTCTCTGGAAAATTATTTATTATTATTTCTTAACAATGAAATCTTGTTATTTGCTTGCTGTAATGGCTGAGAAATCTAATCACTGATTGAGCTTACACTAGGGTAGGGATATTTCAAGCAGAGAGCAACAAAAATACAGTGTGTGTCCAAAGGAATTTATAATGTGGATGTCACACACCCTCAATAGCAGGGGAGCTCCAGGCTGAGCCCAGCAGTGATAAGCTCATGCATCTGTGTGCTTTGTGAAAGAAACACAGTGCCAGTGGGGAAATGAAGACATTTTGTGGCTCAAAGGAAGGTTGGAACACACAGTAGGTGCTCCCCGATGGATCCAGACTCTGGGACTGCTTCCCTGGAGTGGAGGGAGACATGAGCCGGTTTGAGTTTGCCAGCCCTTGGCCTCTGGTGGAGCTCACAAAACATGAGCAGTCTCTGTCCTGTGTCTTCCCCAGGTCTGTGCCTTGCAGACATCACCTCAGCAATTGTTGCTGGCTCTTGCTGAGCTGAATCCTTGGCTTCCTGAGCTTCGTCCCTGGCTCTGCGCGGCGATGTGATGTAATCGTGTGAGCGCAGCCCCTTTATTGCACTGAGAGCATAATGCCCCATTATTCTCTAGACAAGGGTAGGGGGAAACAGCTGTTTTACTGATTAAGTAAATAAAAGCATGACTCTCCAGCCCTCCTCCCTCATCCAGCAGGCGGAAATCTGCCCAGGCTCTGCGCATCGTCACCATCCACTCAGCTCCTTGCCCCCGAGTGCCATGAAAGCAGGCAGTGCCTGCAGCTGGACAGCTGCCCTCACCTTTGCTCGCTCTGCTCCAAGTGGTTTTGTGAGTCAGGCGCTTCGCTTTTGCACAGAAACCCATATTCCATCCTGCCTTTCCATTTGCTCATGCCCCTCTGCTGCCAAAGTAACCATGGCAGGGCCGGCATGGGGGGGTGGAGGGGAGGGGAGCTGCACTGCCAATCTCTCATTAATTTCTAGATGCAGAATGATGGGGGTGATGCATGTGAGAGTCTAATAATAATGACCTGAGGTCCCAGGCATGGCGAGCAAGGCAAACTTCTTTAACTAACAACTTAATTATAATAAATTTGAGTCTAAGAGCACCAGGCAAGTAAATCAATCAACCCTTGCAGGCGGGCTCATTAAAACCAGCAAAGTACAGACCATAAAGGTCATCTTATTAAAAGGGATTAGCATTTTCCAGTTAAATCCTTTGCTGCCCATAGGTGCTAGGAGGGAATGTGCATTCTGAGGTTCTCTGTTGTTGCAGTGGTAAAGGGCTGTCCCTGCACAGCAGTAAATGCCTGCAGTCCCCACGGTCAGGCTCTTGGCTGCCAGTGCCAGTGGGCAAGGCTGGATAAATGCTGGTGGACCTTTGCCAGTCTGGCCCAGTTGTGGCTTGCCAACTGTCCCGTGGAGCAAGTGAAACACGATCAGGGCTGAGGTCTTTCTTGCAAAATACGAGTCAGCTTGCTCTCCAGGCTTTTCTCTAGTCCTCTCTTACAGACTGAGACATCACCTCAGTAATTGTTGTTGGCTCTTCTTCCAGTGACTCTTCCCTGGCTGTGTGGGATGTCTCTTCTCCTATCAGGTCTTAATATATTGTAGCCCTCAAGCAGCATTTTCTATCTTTGCCTTTCTTTCCTGGCTGTGTGGTACAGTACTTTCGGTTTTCTAGTGCTTTGAGAGGCAAACTTTCACAGGCCCAATTATGATCTTGTTCCTTTAGGAGCGTGTATTTACCTTGGAGGAAACATTAAACTGAGAACAGCTATCAAAACAGCTGGTATCCTTCTTCCTGTTTTCCTCTTCTGACAGATACAGTGCTGATGGCAGGAGAGGCATTTTTTTCCCTTTCTAAACTTTCCTCTGCCCACACTTGCATTCCAGCGATGACCCTCTGTCTGTGCAGGACCACTGACTGCTGTTGTGGATATGTGTTGTGGAAGCTGCTGTTTTCTGTGGGGCTTGCAGGGGATGGTGCTGGAGAGGTCTTTCCTGCTCCTGCATTGCATTTCAGATGGAAACTGGTTTTTTGGAGGAAAAGAGAAGCATCTCATAGCCATGTCTGTCACTGGTTGACCAAAATATCTGGAGCTGAGGGGATTTTTTCCATGGAGAGACTACTGCAGTCAGGAAGGTGGGCTACATACCACCCTGTGCTGCACTCCCACAGCTCTGCCCCCTTCTTGATGAGACTCTTCTCTCCCATTAGAAGGACACTAGCCAGTGCTAGCAGCTCAGTCAGCTGGTGAGGAGAGTGGCCACATGGGCTCAGACTGAATGTAACAGGCACAGCTCATGGCACACTTCCCTCAGCTCCTGCTGTGCCCAGGCAGCATTTTGACTGCACAGCAGTTTACAAATAACTCTACTTCATAGGATGGAAGTTCCCCTGCCCTATATTTGATCATTTCCAAAGGTCTTTTAAGCCCTGGGAGGCCTTGGGGGCATGTAGGAAATTAAGCAGAGCCGTTCAGCAGTTCAGGAGTTCATTCAGAACAAGGAGTTATGTGTTGGAAAATATGGTAGGAGAGGTAAGGATGAGAAAAAGCGGAGCATCTCTTTTATCCCACTAGGCTTCCCTTTAGCATAGGAAGTACTGAGGGTCTTTCCTGGTCTGCTTGACCCACCAGCAGAGCATATCACACAGAGCTACAGGCTGCCTGGGGGGAAAAAAAAAAAAAGGAGGAAGAAAATACTTATTTTCTACTCTGTTTCCAGTCAGCCGTCGCTGTGCTGCTTGATGATCCTGTGCTATCTCTCTGTAATAGCAAGAAACTGCTGAGCAGAAGAAATGGGTTTTGAGATTGCTCTTGATAGGGAAATGCTGGCAAGTGGTAGGTGTCTACCAGTCTGTGATCCCACATCATCTCCAAGAGCTTGCTGGGGAACCTTTGGATAATTGTCACTTAATTTTATTGCATCAGGCTTATGATATGGAGTGTGTAGTACTTAACACTGTGCATATCAGCTAAGTTGCTCAGATGAAAGGCACTGCTGGCTGCACAAACGTATTACAGCTTAGTTCCAGAACTCAGCCTTCCCTGCTGCAGGAGAGTGCAGAATTTGGAGCCACTTTTATGCCTTTGCCTTCAGGCACCCTCATCTTCACACAGCCCTTGAACCTCTGACTGGCACTAGCTTTGTGTGGTTTTGTCTTGATGAAGGGGTTTCTACAAAAGAGGAGGAGACCCTTGTGCTCCCCATCCTTGGCAATCTTTCCTACTTCCACAGGGGCAGGGGCAAATTCAGGACAGACCTAGCACCATCATTGCTGTATAAGTTCTCCCTGCAGTGTGATCAATCAAAATTCAAAAGAGTACAGTTTAATTGGAATAGTGTAGAAAATACTTAGTCTTGGTTCTCTTGTTTCCTCATATTTTCCACTCACTGCCTCCCCTTCACATCCTTTCAGCCTTTGCCCAGAATTCACCTCAGCCCACAAGATTCTTCTATTTTTTCCTTTTTTTTCCTGGGAGGTGAGGGGTTAAAACAATAAATATATTGGTTCCTGTTTTTCCTCTCTGCAGCTCCTGAGCTCCAGCTGGGCGCAGACATGGAATAGTAACAAGTCCATGGGAAAGGCTCATCTTCTCACAGCCCTTGCAGCAGCACTCTGAGCCCAGTGTGAACTTCCCAGAGCACAGAGGCAGAGCTGAAACCTTCACCAATGCTGCCAGGAACATTCTGCAGGGATTAAAGCAATAGGGTGGAGATGAAGTGTGTGTGAACCCAAACCGGACTCCAGGTGTGTATAAAGAACAGTGTACTTGGTCTTCAACTGAATTTAAAATATGTACATATACTGACATAATCTGTGGCCATTGGCAGCTCTTTATCATCCAGAGACACACCAGAACCTTCCAGACCCTGAAGGAAAGCACATTTCTGGTGCAAGAGACAAACATGGGGCAGCAAGATCCAGACACTTAATGATAACTTGGTTTTGCTTTTGTCCTTTCACAGAGCAGGTGCTCTGCTTCCATGAACTGTAGTCTTCTAACACTTTTGGTTCCTCAATAATTCCTGATGGGACAGAGGGATTTCTGCATCCTTGCAGGTGGATAGGTTTGCTTGGATTGGTGTCTCAGCCTAGAGAATGGCAAGAGGGGACAGGCTCACCCCTGCACAAAGACTGGCATGGTGCAGGCAGCCTGGGTGGTCTCAGCTGGGTGCAATCCCATTTCCCTTTGGCTCTCTCTGTGCTCATGGAGAGTTGCTGTGGCTCAGTTGTCATTGCTGTTTCATTATAATAACCCAGCTGCTGTCTCAAAGCCCAGTTCTAACCTGGCCTTAGGGAATGCCAGTTCCTGGGAGGTCTCCAGTGTGTTGTGCATGGCTTATCTCCTGGGCATGCAGCAGGAAGGAACATCCAGGTGCTGGTAAAGTTGTGGCAGGGGGACTCAGCAGGTTGGCACAGGTGTATTGGCAATGCAAGGGTGACCTTACACGAGAGAGATGTTGGGGTTTTGTTTTGCTAAAACTCAGAGTGAAAAGCACTGAAACTGGAGCAGGTAGAGATGAGAAAGCACTGATGGATGTTTGTTATGTCAGCTTAACTGGGGTGGAAGTGCCAGGAAAGCAAATGAAATGTAATGCCCCAAATTGTGCCTGATGTCACTTAACACTGCACTCCTTGCAGTCACTTTGAATAAATACAAGACATTTCTTTATTTTCAAGCATTCTTTGTGGAGAAAAATAAAGGAAAAAAAATAGAGAGGAGCAAGACATTCTGTACTTCCCCTACCCCTCGCCAAGCAGTAGAGAGCAGTGGGAAACAGTTAGCAAAGGTGTCAGATTTTCTCTAAGGGCAGTCACAAGGCTCTTGTGCCAAACACTATTTGACATTTAATTTAAGACCCATGTAAAGTAACAGCCAGGGCAGGCAGCAGGCAGAGCGTTCCAGTTGACAGACTGGCTCTATTTGCTTTAATTTCCTTAGTCCGATGGCCAAGTTTATCTGTGAGTGAGAAATACTCAGAGTATTATTTTTTTTTGTTAGCTCATGATGAAAAGAGAGCCCTGTGTTGTGCTCAGACACCGTTTTGGGCTTCAGGTGGCCCTCATTAGGGAACATAATGCAAGAGAGCTGTGTGTCAGCCCAGGAGGAGCCAAAGCAAGTTCTGCCTCTTTGATTAAATTCTGCTGAAGTCAAACACTCTGTTCCTGGGCTGAACTGAGCCATTCAGCGGGTTTAAAGGTGCAGAGAGGGGATCTGTGTGTGGAAGTTTGCAGCCTCACAGCCAGGAGGTGTGAGGAGGGCAGGGAGAGCATCCTTCCTCCTTAAAAGTTGGGTCAGGACCACTCAGTGCAGAGGGGTTTGTGCAAAGATGTGTCCTGTACACGTGCAGAGGAACCACTCACAGCACTTCGAGGTGCTGGTCTAGAAAAGGGTGTTCCTCCCCATAGCAGAGGGTTGGAATGAGATGATCTCTAAGGTTCCCTCCAACCCAAACCATTCCGTGGTTTTGCTCTGCCTGCCTTGTGCTATAAGCCCACAGATGGGGAAGATTGCAAAGCAGTTTTTTTGTATTCTGGTTTCTTTAGTTTTCCTATTGGAGCTGAGAAAACAGATCTAGTGTGCTGCTGAGGAGGTGAGATGGGAATAAAACCTAGCAGGAGTATGTGGAAGGAGTGGTGGGAGTTGTTCTGAGGCCTGTGTGAGGAGGGGAGCAGTAGTGGAAGTTGTGCTGGCTGTGTAGCTAATATTGGCAAAGGGGAAATGTTGCAAGGTGTGTGTAGAAATTAGCCAGGAAATGTATTTGTTGCTTGACTTTCTTTTCAAGAAAATAAATGTGTTTACTCAACAGCATGAAGTGTTGTCCCTCCAAGAATACCTGTTTAGTGATGGAGATATGGAATTATGATGTCAACCATGGAGATAAGGAGTATCAGGGGAGGAAAGTCTGTGAAAAAAGTGATTTGTCGTGTTGAAGACCAAAAGCAGTTCAGAATATGAAGCAATGTGAGGAGAAGGGTTCCCCAGGCAGTGGGACAGACAGCAGCCTGCAGGCAGCATTGGCTGGGTGGAGGAGCACTTGGCTGTTTTTCCAAGGTCATTAGCAAGTCTAGACTTTCCCATAAAAGGGTCCCATTTGCTGGAGAATCCTTGGGCTACCGCTGCCCTGAGGGCTTCACAGAGAACTTGAAGGCATCCAGAACAGCCTGGCTAGACTGAGGCACTTTCCTGAGCTTCTGTGTGTATGGACCTTGGAAGACAACTTTGGGGCAGCCTGGCAGGAATGATTTCCATAGAACATGCAGCCTGCCCCAGCAGAAGGCAGCTCTGGGGCTGGCCCATCCGGTGGCTGGGACACTGCTGTTCCAGACTGGCTGGGTTTAGCTCCTCTTCAGGTTCCTTGCCCAGCAGACAGAACAGAGGAGCCAAACCCAACTGCATTCCTCTCAGAAAGCCAGAAATTGAAAAACTGCTTCTGTGTTGTAGTGGGCTGATGGAGGCATTTGAGGCATAACTCTATACATGCAGTTTCCCCCAAAACTCAAAGGAGGCTTCCACCTTTGCTTCAAACCTCTCTTGCTGCCTCATCACTGACTTGTTTGACCAATTTGTTGGTGCCATCCTATGGCTTTAAGTGCTTCAAATGCCAGCTGTCTTCCCCATCTTAGAGAGCATCTCTGTCTAGCACAACACACCTGGAGAGAGCTTCTCCACAGCGGTGTTCAGAGTAAATCACAAGTCCAAACCTCTCTAAGATCACAGAGTGTGCTCTTTTTCCTGTTAATAGGGGCTTCCAGCTTATGCTGCAACTTACCTTGGAAGGAGAAACCAAAGGGAGATGCTAAAGGCAGGGAAAAACTTAGTGCAGCTTTCTAATTGAGTCAGGGTAAAAAAATTCCAATGTTTGTTCAAGAAAAGGTTTGAATATTTGGAAGACTGGAAATTGTTGGATAATGTTCTTTGTGCAAGCCCATGTATGATATCCTTGTCTTAGGGTCCCCTTGAGAGCCAGTGTCAGGAAGAATGGCCTGGGGGACTGAATCAGGATTTGTCAATATGAACGGCCCTTGGGGACAGACAGTGGTGTCCACCCCAAAGGAACCCACCCTGGGGGCTGCAGTAGTGAATAGAGTCTGGTCAGGCTTCTGCCCAAGGGAAACAGTTTTCTGCATGTGAGAAAACTTCTGGCATCTGCACAAACTTGGATGATGTCAATTCAAGCCTTAAGGAGTTTGTTGTCTAACTGGGACCAGCAGCGTGACTTGGACAACCATAACACAGCTGGGGATGATTCCATCCTGGGAAGGTGTGACTAACCTGGGGCCATTGTAAAATGGTTTCTGTGTGTATTTACTGTATATTTTTGTGGCAGGTTTTCTTTTTCATAATTAGGTCTTCCTGACCAGCAGTTGGATGTTTCAGCAAAGAGAAGAATGTGTACTAAATTCTAAGTGGGGAGGAATCCTGGATAGCACTAAGGGAACTTCCAAAACTGGTGTTTACCTTTGTTTTGCTTTTAGCAATCCAATTTCTCTTTGGGAGCTGAGTGTGCAGAAGGGATAATATAAACTGAGTTTATCACAGCAGCAGAGCTGGAGCAACTCCAAGTACGTTGGTTTGTACCCTGGAAATAGGAGACTGCTTATCCAATTATTTGCAGCTTGTTTTCAAGGGAAAAACGATTGACTTGAGTCCTGCACAGGGTAAAATCCTGTTAGAGTGTGTCATTTTGTCCTTTGGAGTGGGATGTTGTCCCAGGTTTCATGAGATGTTGTTTTGTCTCCTGGGATTGTTGAAAAGCTGCTGTGTCAGGGATCTTTGTTCTTCAGATGAGGAAGTATCTCTCTGTTGGAGTGAGAGATGAGGCTTAAGATACACATGATTACCTTTATCTTCCTGACCCAACCCTTTTCACCCACTGCCATGTTTAAATTTGTGAGAAGAGTCACATTAATAAATAAACTATACATTATTGAGGGTAAAAACTCCCAGGAGGAGGCATTGAGTGGTACAGAGATACAGGCACACTTAACAATGAAACAAAGAGACAGACTTTGGCTGAACATCAGGAAAAACATACTGAGAGTGAAATAAATTTGGCTATGGGACAGTTCCCAACAACAGTAGCAGCAGTCCTGTTACCCAGACTAATTTTAAACACTCCTCTAAGCATCATTCCCAATTGGGTCTGGAAAGAGAAGATGTCAATCACATGCATAGTTTGAAGATGTCACCATTTCTTTGGCCCAAAGTTTTCCATGACTTTTTCTTTTTTTATCAGTGGAGATAATTCCTTTCCATTTGAGCTATTCTCTTAGTTTGTAGCAAATTTGAAAAGAAAAAAATAATTTTGGTAAGGTGAGGACAAGAGAAATTTTCAGCTGTTTTAATGTGGCTCTTCCTTTAAAGGGGTTCAGAATCAGCCATAATCAGACCAGATTTTTGCATTTGGTAGCAGAATCAAAATGAATTGGAGCAAGATATTAAAAGACAATTTTCTCTCAGTCCCTATCAAAACCCTGCATCTTCTTAAGTATAGATAGGAACAATGTTTGCCCAGTGATGTGGATAGTCCACATCAGCCACAGCCTTCTCCAAATTCTTGCTTCTTCCTTCTGGTAGTTTTTTTTCTTGTGGCCAGAGTGAATCCAGTATGAAAGCCCCTTTACTCATTCACTGGGATTAAGCACTGATGAGAAGAGGTGTGAGAGGTAAGGAAAAGATGGTGAAAATGACTCAAGCCTTCCTCAAGTGCCTGTGTGGGCAGCCTGAGGGCATCCCAGGCTGCTGGCTGGGAGGGCATGGAGCTCCTCCCTGGGCTCCTGGCCATCTGGAGGGGCTGGATGGTGCTGGATGGGTTTGTGTTTGCTCCCTGGCTTAAGTCTCTCATAACATGGTTTGCAGCACATATTTTGTGACGTGAGAATGTGCCCTCTGTTCACTTCTAATGCACCTGTTGGTTCCACAAACAGGCCTGCCAATTAAACACAGGAGTCAAATCCCACAAGGAGCTTGGTTGCCTATGCTGGAAGATGGATGTATGTAATAAATGGTGTTATGAGGTATACACCCTAGCCTATTTATGAGTTACCATATGAGAGAGAAAGCAGGGTCAGAGTACTGAATAGGCTCAAATAACATATGGATTTATATGCTACATCCACCTTCCAACCCTTTATTTCATCTTGGGCAAGTTATTTAGCTTCTCTGGGCCTCAGATCCTCTGCTGAGTACATCTGGGACAACAAAAAAAAATCCTTTTTATCTGTTTTTTCTGCTCTGGCTCCTCATGTGCAGAAAAAGGAATTGCCTCTGTGCACATACTTGATTTTTTTCAGGATTTTTATCAACACTCAGGTATTGCTGTTGCATTTCTGCTTGTACTCTTGCAGACCAGAGATGATTCAGGAGCAAAAGCAGAGATACTCCTTCGAGTCCCCTTTTATGTTTCATCGCTGGTGCCTCCTCTCACAAGTAAGTGAGCTGCATTTTACTCATCAGATCGGAACTAAACTTTGGTTTCCATGGAAGTCAGGTACCTCTGCATTCAGCAAAGTCCTGTTATTACTCACCAGGAGAAGGGCAGCCAACATTGTACTGCAGCTGTAGCTGACAGGCAATTTATACGGGACGAATCCCTTAACAGTGGACTTCAGCCTTTCCTGAAATCTTATCCCTCTCCTCTCCATGCGAGTGGGGCCGCTGGCTTCGAGGAGCAGCTCGTTCCAGACAGATGCTGACAACTGGAGCTGAGTGGTGCTGAGGGAACGTGACACAAAGCTGCAGCAAATGTATTAATTGCTGGGGAGGGCTGGATTCTTTCCCCTGCCCCTCCTCTCTCTCTGCCAAAGCTTTGTGTGTGCCGGGAGCCTTGCTGGGTTTTTCTCATGAACAGTAATTAACTAACACAGCCACGAGTTCTGGGCATCTGCTCCACATCCCCGGAAGGTGCGTTATTAACCCGAAAGGATTTGATACCCTCCCGCTGTGTCCCATTTTCTCTGCTCTTGCCTGGTCCTTCTATTTGATTCAGTCTCCCAGGTCCATTAAGATCTTCACAGTTGCCCATGCACAAACCTGACAGGCTCATGGGGAGACTCTAAAACTATGCTGGTTCAATTAGCAGGATATAATTTGCCCTTTGGTGGAACCCTGGGCTCCCCTGCCAGGCTAAGCACTTGCTGCCAGAGCACTTAGCACAGGGAGGAGCGTTCCCATCACATCTTTCTCAATGGCAGGTCACAGAAACCATGAACCCAAGTAGCTGCCATAAGAAAGGATTTTTATTTTTATCCCAATTTTATTTTTCCTCATGAAATGAGTTTTAGAGAAACCAGAAAGCCCAGTTTGGATATTTGATGTGAACAAACCAGCTGGCAGCTGTAGTTTTTATTTTAGCCTGGGAATCCTGCTGGCTGTATTTTTTTCCTTCCTTCCTTCCCCATGAGCCCATCTTGCAATTTGAGTTGTTCTGCCCTATAGGTCACAGACGAGTTTGCTATACAATTTTCTGTCTCTGTGTTGATCAAATGCTTTTCTGAATGATTTGCTGTTTGCTGTGGTTGTTAACCTCCTGAGTACTCAGTCTTGCTTCTCTCACCTCTGAGACAGTGCTGAAATACCTGAAGAGAAACCAATATCAGATCATGCATATTCATAGTGATTATTCCCCATTCAGCTGCACAGACAACAATTTTAACACACTCACCAAAAGCAGATATGAGTCAAAGTGATACTCGGGATGGGGGGAGGGAAGGAGAGTCAAGATATAATTTAGGTTTTTTCTCAGCCTTCAGCTACTTTGGACAGTAGCTGTTCCCATGAGATCTTTTGTATATTAGCAAAGGGAATTGTGTGCTTTGATGGTGGAACTTCTCACACTGGAGGAGGTCTCCTGGAGAGATGATGTGGAAAAACTGGTGGCATCTGCCCCTGTTAGGGCAGGGGAGAATTTGGCCAGAACTGCTCTGAGAGGACTGCCAGAGTTTGAGCTGGTTGCGCTGGGTCTCTCACACGGTGGGAAAAACCTGCCCTTAGCTCTGGTCTTGAGGAATGCTTTTTTTTTTTTTTTTTAATGTTACTTCTCTTTCCCAGGAGACTTCCTTGGGTTTATAAATGACTGCATTTCCCTTCGGCATGACAGCTGCAGCTTCACCTCTTCTCGTGTGAACCTGGAGTCAGGTCAGGCTGAAATGCTGAATCCTTCCTTTCTCCTTCCCGTGGTTCTCTGGCCCCCTCCTTCCTTCCCCATATCAACTGCCTGTGTTGCCATAACTTAAGGATTAGCTTTTTCCCTGCAGGACTGAGCTGAAATTCAAGTGCTTTACCGAGCTAAACAAATCTCTTCAATATTAGCAAGGCAAAGCAAAATGCTCGTGCACATGTGTTTTTTGTTAGCTGACTTCTCCCCCAGCCTCATGTTTGGTCCCAGTGTCAAATTCCCCCTTAAATATGCTTAGGAGGTCACAGAAAGCAGGTGAATAGTCATACAATAAAAATCACATCGCACCTCTTAAAAAAAAAGTTAAAAAAAAATATATATCCTCTCTTTCAGTCTTCCTCCCACTCCACCCATCCCTATACACAGTAGAGGCGAAAACCTGATTATGCACTTAGTGGGAAAGAATTAAAAATGAGTTTTCCTAGCAGGTTGGAGCACAGGGATGTAGTTAACAGAATTGTTGCAAATGAGGATGCAGAGTTATCGGGTGCCCAAAGTTAAGCAGGTAAATATAGGTCAGGCCCTCAGCCGATACAAGTTGTCTTCCCTGGAGTGATTCCACACAATCTGGCTTCCAAAGGAACGTGCTGCTGCCAGCTGGGTACTTTTGGGAAATGTGTGTTGAGTAAGATGCTGAGGAGATGGCAAAGGTATGTGTGCAGAACACACCTCTGAGTGCTCGGTGCAGGTGTGAGCAGTAGAGCTTGGATGGGGTTTTTGAAACCATGACTCAGTTCCTTTAGGAAGATCAGATACTGGGTTTCTGTTGTGTTAGCAAGGGGAGCTGAGCCAGAGCCCCCACACCCCCAGTGCTGCTCCATGAGTGGAAACTCACACAAATCTCTCTGATTGATTTGACCTTATGACAGAAATTCTAATAAATCCTCGAGGTCCTGTTAATGAATTTTATGAGTCCCCCCAGTAAAGGCAATACCTGTGCTTTGGCAGATATATGAACTAAATCAAAGAAAGCTGGCTTGAGCACTAGAGACAGCGTGAGAAATGTTTGTGAGTTAAGTCTCTCAATGAACCCAGGAGCATTGCCTGAAGAATATTCATTCATCTTACAGCCTAGACAGACACTTTTAACTAAAGACTTGTAACTAAAGAAGCTGTGGATGCATCATCCCTGGAAGTGTTCAGGGCCAGGTTGGATGGGGCTTGGAGCAACCTGGTCTGGTGGCACCCATGGCAGGGGGTATGGAAACAGATGTTTGCACCTGTGGGTTTTATTCAGGTTGTTTGTGTGTACACACTGATTTTAATGGCCAAAAGTTGACAGAATGAAGAACAGTAATATTGAGGAAACATCATTGTGTTCAGCTCTGTGCTTGGGTATTTACTTCTCTCAGCAGGGCACTAACATGTGAAAAGGTTTTTAACAAAAGGTTGTCATAGCTCAAGGCCAAGACCTGCCTCTTGTTTTACTGAGCAATGTGTTTCACTTATATTTGAGGTCCCTTTTGAAAGAGAAGCTGTCATGGTATGTGCAGGTGTGTAAGCTATGAACCTTTGTATAAAGCAGTGAATTTATTTGAGCTGAGATTTGTTCTCGGAAGTTAGTCTTTGGTCTGTGAAAACAATTCTCCCCATTACTCTAAGATAGATTTTCTTGGCAATAAATATCCTGGTTTTTATCTTGATTACTTTTTTTCCCTTTTGTTCTCACAGCCCTGAACTCTGCTCCTGAGTCTTTGGTGCTCTGTAATTTCCAGTTTTTCCTCATGTAAAATAGAGGACGAAGACAGCAATTGAAACAATTGCAGTAGAGAAGGTTTTCAACCTCTGCCTCTGCTTGCTGGCACACTGTGAGTCTTAAATAACATGTTTATAAAGTGGTCTGATGTGTGACATTCAGATGAATGCAAATGTCGTTCAGAAGTGCATAGACCTGCAATTTATATAGCAAATACACCTTTCGTGTTCAGTAAATTCAAAGTCAATCACCCTAGTCTCAGGGTGACAGTATTTTAAGCCATAGCTGTGCAATTCTACTAATTAAAAAGTTGGGAGGCAGAAAGGTCCCATTAATTCAGCCTGTATCTCTCCAGGATTCTTTTGCCTATGAAAAAAGAAAGGAGCAAACTTTTGGTGCAAAAAGGTTCAACCTCTAACTTTTTTTTTTATTCTTTCATGGGTTATAAAATCCATATAATTACTTATAGGGACTCTTGGTGATTGTGATGATAGTGTTTAGAAGCAATTAATTTGGAGCTTTAGTCTCATAAATAGTAGATGGCAGTAACTCTTGCTTAATAGCAAGGGAAGCAGCCCTGGACCTTTACTGGATTCTTTAGGGTGTTCAGCTGAGACTGGAAAAGAAGAGATCTTTGTGGTGGGTGAGAGGGTTGATGTGCTTGCATGACATGTAAGTGAAACATGTTTTGCCTCTGGAACACATAGATGAAGTGCTTTCCTCCTCCTTAAAGGAAGTTGTAGCAGTAAAAAAATGGAAGTGACAGAATGAGTCTTAAAATTTCATCCCCTAGTGAGAAATCTGAGATTATTACTAACATCAACTTTTTAAAGAAAATCAATAACCCAGAGCTATCTATTTGAAAGCATAACAAAAGACTGACTTTAAGTGTGAAAAAAAACCCAAAACATTCACAGGTAGCAGCTGAAGAGGGTGGTTTTAAAATTCATTATTATTTTTGCAACTTTTTACCAGTGGTTAAAGTTTGCTATTAGAGCAAATTGCTTGCGGTGGCAATATCCTTGCAGGGAAACATTGCTTATATCCCATGTGTTTGTTTTTCCTGAGAATCTAATTTTCTATTTCAGCCAGGAGCAGAGTGCAGAGATCTGCACAACATTATGGAAGTGTTACCCATGAGGTTACAATGAAATACCCACTGCAGCCACCTCATGCTTTAAAGATCTCAGAGGATGAAGCAGAGCTCAGTTGCCTGCTGTAGGAAGAAGTAAAATAAATAAATAAAGATAGATAGATAAATTACCAAGAAAAAGTAAAATGCTCCCTACACACCAGGAGTAAAAATGTAACGGTGTCCTGTCTCTTCTGAGCAGCCTCAGAAGGAGAATTAGGGAAGACTAAGTTGTGCACGTTGGATAATTCTGCACTTTGCACTGCAGAAGCTGCCAAACCTGCTCCAGCTCAGGTCCTCTGAGGGCCTGGGACATTCACCAGCGATTGGGACAGTCAACATGGTGAAATGTACCATCATGCTGGGGCAGGAAACTGCTTGTGGAAGTGTTGATGGCTTTGATCCGCTTGGGACCGGTCACACGGGATGCCCACGTGTTGTTTATTGCTTACAGGACAGGAGCTTGGCAGCAGCAGTGGAGTGGAGGATGTATTGAGGTGGGGAGGCTGGGGATGATGAAAGACACATCTGCCCACTCAGCCTGGGAGGATGGGGTTGCTCGGGAAGACAGTCCTGTTAGCACAGCTGCTCAGTTTTGATATTCTACTGCTTTATTTCATAATGAGGGTTTGGATTTGGACCTTTTTGTCTCGCTGTCACAAGTCTTTCACTTGTCTTTGTATCTTGGGAGCTTTGTGAGTGAGGATGGGTTTGGAGAAGGACCTGCTGTGATGATAAATAAGGTACAACCAAAGCCATGGGCCCCAGATAATAGATGTTCCATTCTGCAGGACGCACCCGTTTGGGCAGTTTAATTTCTAACCAGTTAAAGATCCTTCTTGTGAAAAATGACTCCCCATTCCCAACCTTATAATGAAAGTAAAATAGTGGGAAGACAGATGAGTTAGCACTCCTAGAAATCTATTATGTAGCTGGGTGAGAAATAAAACAATTTGTCTCCCCCTTGACTGACTTTTCTTACACCAAATAACTGTGTAATTGTCTTAAACCCCGAATAGAGAGCACAGTCTGGAGGGGAGAGGTTCTTATATTTCAGCTGGCTCCCAGCTGCTCAGCTGGGGAGAACAAGGTTGCATGTGTGAAGGGAATGCACTGGGAACCCATTTCTCAGAGCTGTGACCCTTTTCCTGCTTGTCAGATGCACTGATTATTTGCAATACGTTTTCCTGTTAAGTATTGTGTGAGATTTTGGCAATACAGCTGCCTCTGAGGCCAAAAGGAGTCCTCAGCTGGCTGGGACTTGGGTGGACAGGGTGGGATTGTGCACCCTATGAACAGCAAGAGGAGCTGGCTGGAGCCATGGAGCTCAGAGCCACACCTTGGATGTGACAGTGATGGAGCAAATGCACTCAGGAGCTAAAAGATATAAGAACCCAAGTAGTTATTAATATTTTTTTAAATTTGCATTATTTATATTTTTATTCTCTTTTAAAATTGCTGAAACAATGCAAAGGAATTTTGTGGGAGTGAGACTACTTTTTCTGGGTTTACTGTAGCTGGATATGTTGTTGTACCTTCCTTATATCATATTTTGAAGTGCTGATTCTGAATGCTCTCCATGTAGTTCAGAACCCTTTTTTACCATGCATCATATAGGCTAAATTTTAGAACTACACGTGGCAGTGTCTTCCCCTTAATGAAAGAGATGGAAATCTCTTCTGATGGTATTGGAACTGATGGAGTTTGGATCAGGAAGTGGAAGAGACTTCAGGAAGTACCAAGAAGCCAGTTTTTCAGCACATGTCTTGAATCTCACCCTCTTTGTTGGTATCTTTGTAAATGGTTTTCTAAAAAATGACCAGTTTTATTTGAAAAAGTGTATTTTTTTTCTCAATATGAGGCATGTGAAATTCAGATACTATTGGGTCTCTTAAGTTTTGTCCAGGGGCTAGCAGTAATATATCTTTCAACTCAAGCTTTCAAAACAATCAGTAGTTTATTGTGTTAGGACAGATTTCTCCTCTTCTGAGAGCAGAAACTGTGTTTTAATAGCAATGTTGATAGCAATCTTTTTAAAATTTCGAAGTTGTGGTATGGAGAAATTCAGAGCTCTCAGCACAGCACAAACTTTTGTAATTAAATCAAAGAGCTCCCCTGTTGAGAAGTGAATTACTAAAGGCTCTGTATCATCTCTGCCCCCTTGACATAATCCCAGCCGTGTGGAAAGTGGAGTTGCTGCCCAGAAATTAGCAAACAATTCCCAACAATGAAGGCACAATGGAACACACTGAACACACAGCCAGGGAGGAAGTTCAGGTTTGTGTGGTTTGAAAGCAGAGGAGGCAAGTCAGGAAGAAACACACCCTTGAAAAACCCAGGGGTGTGAAAGGGATTTCTGTGCTTTTCTCTCTGCTGCAGGGGTGAGCTGATGGCCAAGAGCCAGTGCTGTCCTGCTGTGGCTCTTTGTGTGTGTGAAACCTGCCCAGCTCCTTTTGGGGCTTGACTGTGAGCAAATGTTGAATCTTTTGTGTCTCTGGAAGCCAGCTGAAGTCACAGCTGATGTGACATCCCAGCTCTGAGCCATGAGGTTGTCCAAACCCATGGCAGAGAGCAGAGGGAGCAAGTTTGCTTTCAGGAGTAGCCAAGGATGGTTTGGGCAGCATTCCATTGCCATCGTGGCAGTGCTTTGGTGAGGGCTGTTCTGTTTGATTGCCTTTGCCCTCTTTGTGGATGGATTTCCTCCTGCTCTGGGTTTTCATGCCTGAACCTGCCTTGTCAAGATTTGATTATGGTTTAACTCTGTGAGGCTAAGCAGGGGAAGCTGTCCCCTGAGCATGAGGCAGCAGGGTACAATGCTCATGCTTTACTTCACCTCCTGGCATGATCAAACTCCAGTTCCAGCAAAACCTCACCAAATGAGTTTGGCCAAGGTGTAGAGGTGTGTGTGGAGACACTTCTGTGCCTGGGGTCTTTGCCTCCAGGCTGCTCCCAGGGAATGGGCTCCTTGACAGCTCAGGTACAACCTCTCCTCTGGCCTTGGTGCTCCTCCACACACATGCAAGGTGAAGAGTAAATGACTGCTTGAATGGGAAGGAGCTGAAAAGTACACGTGGTTTGGAGCCTGGTTGGATTAAAGAAAAGCTAATGACAGATATTTACATGGAAATGTCAATAAACATTTTCTACATGCTTTTGACTGGCCCACTGTTAATGTATTCCTAATGGAAACAAATTGGATTGTCAGTCAGTCCAGTGCCTTTGTCAGTCCTGAATGCCATTTAAAAATAACATTATTTTAACATGTTTTTAAAGCACCTTTTCCTAACATGATCCAGAAGGCTGTATAAAAACAACTTGGAATAATCTTGAAACCCATAGAGGGCTAAGCCAGAGAAAAGGAGCCAGCACCTTTGGGCAAAGAAAACCAGAAAATCTGAGAAGAAGAGCCAGGAAGAAGGGAGGGAATATATTTTAATGGAAAAAACTTACCTCTAAAACAACATGCTCTACAGAAAAGGTATTTTTTCCTTAAGAAATTCCCACATAAAATTAATGCAATGCTGTATACATTTATTTCATTTTCTCTATATATCTATTCAATTTTCTCATTGAAATAATATCCCATTAGCACCTAGAGCCAGCAAGCTTTTGTCTTTGGAGCTGCCTCAAATTATGATCTTGGTTATTCTATTAATGGAATATGAGATTAGGGAGACTGGGTTAAATGCATCATAAAGCAACAGCAGTGTGCAGCTCAGATGCCAGTTTTATTTTTCTGTGATTGGTTAATCCATGAATTGAGGAGACCACGTGTTTAAATTCCACATTTTTGATATTCCTTTAGCAGTGTCTCCCAGTCTGTGGGAAAACAAAATAATTTGAGGCCACTGCTGAAGGAATGCTAAAGTAAAGCATAGCTTGAGAAAGAATCTTTTAAGAAAATGGTAACTCTGCAGTTTGTGTCAGTCCTGTTCTGAGCAAACTGACACCTGAATGACAGACAGCAGCAAAGATAAATATAGCAGCAGCACAGCCAGGGAGCTGAGATGAACAGAGGCATATTCCAGTGAGACTCTGTGACATCCTGAACTGATGTCACTGATGAACAGTGAAAAAATCCAAGGATTTGCCCTGTTGGATTTAAAGACATTGATTGAGTCTGAGGCAAGTTCCAATGCAGATTTCCCTTCACTTAAAGCCTGGTCCCCCTGGGTTCAAGTCCTCCCTGAGGATTTTCAGGTGTGGTCATGCAGGATCAGGAGCTCCTCATGAAGCTGGTCTGTTCCTCTTTTGGTACTTAAAAAACTTACTACTATTTACATTTATTAATGCTCATCAGGACTTAATACCTGTTTGAAACTAGGAACGTTGAGCTCTGCTCAACTTCTCCAGTAAGATCTGGAGCAGCCCAAACTTGCAAAATAGATGCACCAGTCAAGGAAAAAAATGGTGAGCCAAGAGTTGGAAGCATTTTATTGTGCTTAGTGTAACCTGCCTACAATAGCAGGTAGAATCTACTGCAAGGGTGAGAATGTAGTTTCCTGCCTTTCACTGACCAACACCTATTTAGTGAGTTTAGTCTGTATTCTGGGATGGTGGGAATGATGTAGTTTCAGGCATAGCTCCATTTTCTGCATCTAGTAGAGGCCCCTATTCTGCTGAGTCCTACAGGTACCCGTTCTATTCCTCTAGGTAAGAATCTGTAAAGGAATATAAATGATTACTGAAGATTTAAGAGAGAAAACCTTTTATTTCTTTTTGTTTTTCTCTGCTTGTTTAATAATAAACCCAAGATTGTATAAACAGAGGTTGTATCTGGTCCCCTCTCCTTTTTGGATTTTCTGTGCCTCTAGACAAAGGCAAACCACATACCTGAGAACAAAACTTCTCTCTCAGAGAGTATTTTATGATGCACCTTTGTATGATATTATACCAAAGCAGAGAAAATATTTATGGGAGAGTTACCCAAGCAGTGTGTGTATATATGTGCACAGCCATGAAGGTATGTGGACTCTCTCTGCAGGATAAAAAGCTTTTTGTGATCATTTAAGAAAGGTATTGAGCTCTACTAAGGGGACTAGATAGCATCAGTATTCTGAATACTTGTGCTTTTCCCAGAGAGCATTCAGAAGTAATCTTTGGCTGCTGAGGCAAGAAAGAAATTAAAAAGCAGCAAATTTTCTCTGATGGGGATTTTTTGGCTTCTGTATGAGCCTGGGTCATGTGACTGGACTGAGTTGATTTAGGAGCAATGCACTGCAAATCTCTTTGAGTGCTGACTTCAGAGGCTACTAGGCACTGCAATTAGATAGTGTTTGTAGGATAGGGGGATTAGAAAAAATAGTCACGTTACAGCTGCCCTGTGTCTCAAAGCTTGTTTGGAAACACTTTTAATTGGTCTATCTGTCATGCCTTTCGTTTGGATTAAGAATGGCTGGTGCTCTGTGTTGCCCAGAAGCAATAATCTCAGCAAGACCATGTTCTCTTCACAGCTTCATTAACCTGTACAATAAACAGTCAGGGCTTTACAGTATAAATGTTCACAGAGAAAATGTTTTGCAGCTCTTGTATGGGCCATCTGTCTTTTGACATAGCCTTGGGTGAATGCTAGATTGTTATTTCCTAAAGAGTTCAGTACAAAAATCAAATGTTTAGGGCCCTGCAGATATTTCAAGTGGACCCCAGCTCTTTTTGTGTGCACCATCCCCAGAACCCTCTTGTGGGTTCCTTCAGCAGAGTTCAGTGTAGCTGGAAAGGCATGAGTGGGTGCTTGGGATGTCTGTAGCCTTTAGGAGGGTGGAAGTGAAAAGACAGGTTCCAGTTATTCCCCTAGAAAATAAACAGTGCTTTTTCACAAGCTGCATCTTGCTGATTTTGGCACCAGACTGCAGTATGCCCTAGCTGGAGGGAAGAGCTGGGTGGAGAGGCCTCATGGAGAGATCTCCAGGATAAGCTTCTCATCTGAGAAGTGCTTTGAGAGAGGAGCAGAAAAGGGGAGAATAACCCAACCACGAAGGGACTTGGGTTTATAGCCAAAACTTGGCTGAGTGACCTGCCAAAGAGAGAGCTGGATTTTGGGACTGCATGTTCAGATGGCCCTCTCAGGCAATAACTAAACTGGTTCTTAAGACAAGAGGTTCCAGATAGGAAAAAAAATAAAACCAAACAAGACAACAAAACTAAAAAGAAAACCCCAAACCCACAAAACCTGCCAAAATATAGCAACAATAAGCGTATTAATAGTAATTGGGAAAAAAAAATCTCCATGCCAAAATGCTGGAATGGTGTGGGGAGAGAATGTGTGACACTGCTTCTTTGGCTGTCTGTGCTTGAGAAGAGCAGGAGTGAGAGTCGCTTTAGGAGGTTAGGTTGAAAGTGGAGTCAAGAGAAGGAATTTATGGTGTTCCACACTGGGATTTGGGTGTGAAATAGTCCCTCAAGCTTCTTGGATTATTTCTTTGAAAGCAATCCCATGACAGTAAACATAAAACCTGCCCTATTGCTTGCTCTGCTAAGGCTCTCTGGGTGATCTCTCCATGATGGTCTGTCTTATAAAATATGCAATATCTGATTGAGCTGAGATTGATTAAGGCTGTAATGAGGTTGTGTATGTGTTAATAAAACCCTGCTAGGCTGTTGATATAGCAATGCTGCTTCTGTCACAAACTGTTTTAACTTCAGCTTGTGGCAAACAGCTCTGGGCTCTCAAATCAGATTTATTTCCCCATTTGCCTTTGAGTCATTTTATAATGATTGGAAACAACATTTTCAGGGAGATAAATTCCAGTTTCTACTTGAATGAAAATCCTTTTAAAATCCACCTTCTCTGTGTCTTGTGTTCATTCAGGTACTCACAAGAGTTTTCATCATCCAACCTTAACTCGGCTGCCCTGATGACTCTCAGCCTACCAGCAAGGAATGGGCACCTACCAAGTACATTTTTGGATGGCATGGAATTTTATTGGAATAATGTATGCTTTTTAATTCTCTTCTTTGCTTTCCAGAAATGCTTTAGGGTTTGATCAGAGCCTTGAGAGGAGCTAGTCCATGGAATAGCAACCAGTTATTTCATAGACAAGCTACTGGAAAAGAGACAGGATCTCTTCATTTAGCTGAGATGGCACCTTCTGCATTCTCTGAGTCTCTAGCCAAATTCATCCCAAAGATAATGGGTACCACAGGTAATTTAAGGAACAAAGAGCCTCTCCCTGCAGCTATGTGCAACTGCTGGTGGTTACCTAATCCTGCACCTGCACACAATTGCTGATGGTTTCATGATCCTATCTCCTGCTATCTCACACAATCCACTTGCCTCTTTTACATTGCAAAATGTCTGATGTTATAGACTCTTGGGGCTGGACACTCTTACAGGCCACTCATCTCTCTTTGTTCCAGTTCTAATCAAATTTCTCTTCATTTGATTTCCCTCTGGTTATATGTTTGTTTTTAATGTACTGGGAAAACTCTCTTGTGCAAACCAGAGTGTCTGGTGAGGTAGCTGAACCTGATTAGTGTTTCTGAGCATCTCCATGAGATAATCTGCAGTCATCCTTCCTCCCTGTTCCCTCTCCCTCCCGCTATTGCAAGTAATTTTATAGGCAGTGAGATCATGCATTCAGAGATGTTGTCTTGGTGTAAACTTGTATCTGCTAACACATCTGTGTGAACCATTTCACATCAGCTTTCGGTAGCAAACTGAGGTGCTCCCATTCCTTCATGTCTGCTGAGTTTCTTTCCTTGTGGAATTTTCCAATGATGAAACAAAGTATCTAGCAGTCAGGAATTATATCTGGGTTTTAAATCTCTTTTTTGAATCATCTCACAGTTTTCCCAGCTATTTCATGGTCTCAAACTATTTAGTTCTCCTTGTGTCTTGTCCACTTTCAGGACAATTTTTAACATGAGCTGTTTGTTACTTACTGGTTCCACTTTATAGCTCTCTCTTAAAGCTCTGGATCACGTTAAGTGTATGTGTGGAAACCAGCAAATATGAGTGGTTTGCCAGAGGTCATTAGCAGCTGTTTTAGATCCTAGAAACTCTTGGAACCCTTTCCTCTAATTATGAGAAATAACAACATGCACCTGTGTTATATTTTTTATCTGCACATCTTGAAATTATTCATAAATATCTGTCAAATATTCACCACTTCTACATGGGAAGGTAAAAGTCTGAGTAAATGGACGGACCCAGTCACCAAAGAAACTAAAATAATGCACTGTCCCTTTCATCCATGCCAAGATGCTCTGGATCCACAGCTCTGAATGAGACCCCTGAGCTTGCAGGACAATGCACTGGGAGAGCTTGGGATGTCAGTGTGGTGCACAAAAGCCAGAATATGGAGTGGAAGACAATGTAGTTTCACAAAGAATTAAGGGTTTACACAGGTGCCTTTCTGGGTGTGGATACTTTTAGGGGTGTCTTATTTGCTGCTCTTGGAAAGGAGTTTTTGTTCTTTTCATGCTTAAGCTGCTTTTTTGCATTCTCAGGGCAGATGGCAAGAAAGGCAGTTACATTTTTGGCTTGGTAATTCCTTCAGAAGCTAACTCCACTTTTCTGATTCCCTCCTCTTTTGCTTAAACCTCAGGAACGCAATTAATGTAGGTTCATTAATTAATAAATTAATTAAAAATAAGTTGGAGAGGACCTTAATAATAATAATCTGGTTCTACCTCCCCTGCCGTGAGCAGACAAATTCCACTAACCCAGGCTGCTCAGTGTGACTTTGAACAGGAATGGGGCACCCACAATGTGTGGATCTGAACGAAAGCTCTGAGATCATCTGACTTGTCCATGTGGATATGGACACAAACCCTCAAAGTAAAGATGATTTCTGACCCAATGGTAGAGTTAGGTGTAATTACTGAGGGTACAGCAGACCACAAGAGCATAACTCTCCATGTTGAATTGGAGTGGAAAAATGCTCATTTGGAAGAGCCTGATTCATACATTACTTCATGTCAGAAACAATTTTCATATTGAGAAGAGATTATTTGCATTTGATTACTAAAAGCTGATGTTTAGTCAACAACTATTTATAATTCTGAGGGAGAATAAGTAATTCCACTTATTAGCAGGCAGATATATACAGACCTTAATCAGAAGGCTGCAAGGATTTCTGTGATGAATTTTACATGAAAGCACAGTGCTGCATCTGACACCGGTTGTCCAAACTGGAAATCAATATTTCTGGGTTTGATGACACTTATAAAGAAGGAAATCAAGCTTGTTAGTGTCTGTCATGAGATGAAGGGGTATTTAATTTTCAGCAAAAATCTGCAAGATTTTTGGAAATCCTGAGGACTGAGGATTTTTATTTTTTTAAACCAGTTTATCCAAGGTACTCTTCCTATATAAAAAACTGTTTTTTTATGGATATTTCCTGTGGGGTGGGATTGTGTAGGGAAGCATGTTTACTATGGGATCACAGTCTTCTCCATAGTACTTTTTGATATATAATTACCACTGTTTTGGTCACATACAACTCTATTATCTTATGATTAAACTCGTGTATGAATTGTTGTCTCAGAGAGTGCAATGCTGAAATACAGACATGGCTTAGTCATTTGGCCAATTACACAACTTAAAATCTGATTTAACACTGGAGGTATTAATCTTAGGGGGATTTTCTCATCTACAGGTTGATTTATTATAATAGTAATAATAATAATAATTAAAAAAACCTTTAAGAATGGTTTGAAATGGAAAGCCTTTGGAATGTAATATAGAAATCTTTCAGAAATACCAATGATAGAGAGGTTTATAATAATTCATCCATGCAAGAAAAGCTGGTACCTCTCACCACTTTATTCTGCCAACTTTTCATCTTTTTTTATCCCTCTTTTTATACCCTTTCTGGCTGCTAGAATTGGGAAGATGAATTGCATCTGTCAGTCATGAAACAAAATTCAGGGGAATGCCAATTTTAGGTTTAACAGCATGTATGTTTTGGGCCTTTATGGAAGGAATATTTTTGAGCTGTTCCTTGGACAGGTTAAGTATTGAATTATGGCCTTAGATTTTCAGATACACCCCAACCAATTCACTGCTTGGCAAGTCCCTGTAGACATTTGTAAGTCAATGCCATGGTTCATTCCATGGTTCTTCAGCCAGAAGAGTAAGCCATGGTTCAGCATGAGACTCCTTTGGTCCCTTCTGCCAAGGAGGTGAAGGTGGGGAAGAAGAGCTGCTCTCTCTGCTGACTCTGCCTGTGGATGAGAAATTAAATGCTCCAGCTCTGCAGTGCTGAGCATCCATCCTGTTTGAGGGAGACTGTGGTTTGCTGCTCATATCTATCCATTAGCCATGCAGGGCCGAGTGAATGGAGTAGTTGGTGTTCAGGTTTTCAAAGGACCAGGAGTGAAATTTCAATTTGTCCAGAAAACACAGTGTCATGTTTCCATTTCTTGTCTGGCTTAACCAGACATTAACTTAGTGTTAATATGGGCCTGTATTGCTGAGTTACTGCCAAGAGAAGGTGAGAGTGTGTTGCTGTGAGGGGTGAGTGAGCAAGGACAGCCACCCTCTAATCCAGTAGAACAGAACTGTGTCCTTGCTGGATAATATGACATTGTCCTGCAAATTATTTTTTTTTTCTTTTTTTTGAAAGTAAATCCTTTGTTGATTGAGTAGCTGAGGCAGATATTTGAAGACCTCTCTTTGCTCCCAGTGTAAGTATAAGCTGATGAACAGTGGGCTTCTGGGTTTTTTCATCCATGCAGTGTTTGCTAATGAGCCTTCACCATGTCTTTGAAGAATTCTTTATGGTGGTGAGAGGAGCAGCAGATGAGCAATGTGATTAGTGATGCTGTCCATATGAACTCAATTGTTTTCACCTTTTCAGGTTAGTAGGTTCATATCACAGGGCCCTGGTCACTGCAGGCTGGGCATCTCCAGCCACAACACTGCTGGAAGAATCTGGGAAAATGGGAAAAGCTGTTGTAAAAGAAACTAAAGAGTAGTCATGGGCAGCATTGTTAATGATGAATTTCTTCCTGAGCTGGATCTAGTAACTCTCAGCTGGGAAAAATATTGATAGAAGTAGCTGGGCATGGATTTCAGAGGTAGCAGAAGTAAATGATAATGTGAGTACTGCTCTGGGCAGAGGGTTCTGATAGGCTTGCCAAATAGTGGTACACATTTTAGGCTCCTATTATCTATCTTCACAAGGCTTTTCTGCAACTGTCTCTGTCTACAGGCTGAAATTCCAAGATATTATGGAATGAAAATACCTAATTGTGCTTGCAAATCAGGTAGTTAAACTTCCAAATCCTTGCCACCTTAGTATCTTTGTTTTCCAGATTGTATGAATCCTAAGGGTCAGAAAAGGAGATTTCCATCAGTGAAGCTGTCATCCTGACACATTTCATCCAGGACTTATGGCATTTTGTAAATGCCACCTTAACAATCAGGGGATAAGGTATTGCACAGAAATATTTTTGGTAAATGGATAGAGGCCCTTTCAGAGGCAAAAATGGAGACTGTCACAGCAAACATCCCCAGGGCTGGACACTGTCACCCACTGGATCAGTGGTGGAACTCACAATTTTTCTCTTCTGCTTTACTTATCCTGCCCAAGCAGCTCCTGATGAGTGAGAATTTCTCACTTAAGGAGCTGGCTCCTGTAGAAACAGGGGTGGGCTCTCACCTGTCCTGCTGTAGAGCTATTGGCAACTCTTCTGTTTTGCTTCCAACATCAGGAAACACCACAAGGACAAGTAATTATTTCAGTGTGGTTTAAAATATGTCAACCCTCAGGTAACAGTAGTTTAGCAAATGAATCACTGCAGAGTTAAGTGGGATTTGGATCTTCAGATTCTTATTTATAAGGTAATTTTAGTGTAAGGGGAGGGTGAACCAGAAGTTTTGTGATAAATAGAGGCTTAATTATGGCAATAAACTGTGGCTTCTTTCTCAGAATGGCAGCCTCATTTATTTACTTCTAAAATAG